CTGCTACATGTCAGAGAGTTTTTAAGTCTCTCCCAGAGGCATTGTGTTTTGGCCGCAGCCCAGACTGGGAATGGTGGCTGGGGTGTGCCAATGCTTCTGGTGGGACCGAAGCTGGAGGTTCCTGGCTAGAGGGTCTTGCCCCGCTGCTCAGGGTCAGACCAATTGCCATATTTGTCGTCGGGAAGGAATTTTACCCCATGCTCAGATTGGTATGGATTGGGGGAGGTTTGCCTTCCTCTGTAGTGAGGGACATGGCGACATTTCATAGAAGCAGGACATTGGCTGCTGTGGTTCCCCTGCTTTATCTGTGGCAGGTTAGGGTGTGTTAGGTGGAGGAAGCCCTGATTTAGCAAGCGCTCTTTCTTTGAAGCAGTCTCACTATGCTGTGAACTGTTGGACTTTTTTTCTGGAGATGCTTTCAGGAGATGTGAAGGCGATGTGGCCATTTGGGGTTGTTAAAGATCTTGCAGGACTTTGCACAACAAGGGTGTATCTGAACTTCTCCCTTCTGGTAATTTGGTTGCCTAACTTCTCTTCTTGCCTTACCATTTTGTAATATTACTGCTCATGGCTGAACTCCCCAAGACCTGCATGTTGGGCCTTAACTGTCAGTGACACTGCACAGAGCAAGCCACTCTCCTTTGTTCCCTACTTTTGGTTGATTATCACTCACAACTCTGGTCCATCCTTTATTCAGGGGGCAGTGAAGACTTAAGCCAATAAAAGTCATGGAAAATTAGTGCTTCCAAAGAGAGCAAAAAACCAAAGATAAATATAAACAGCCCTCAGTCAACCAGGTCATAGCAATGTGAGATGCTAACAGACACTTACTGAAACAAAATCCTCTTAGTGGCAATGCTGCCAAGGCAATATGCCTTAAAAATCCTTAGCCCTTTACTTATCTTCAGGTGGAACCTCAGATGGAGCTTCATTTAGCAGGAGTAAAAAGGGCATTACCAGTATGGACATGCAGATGTGGGTTACAGTAGCAGAACAAAACATTTGGGATGGAGTGCCATTCTGCCTCTTGCAGAACAACATCAGATTCAGATTAAATAGTGCGCAGCACACAGGACACATGAGCTAAGTCTACAAAAAGACTTAGGTGCCTAGGTCCCACATTGCTACAACCTCTGGTTCCTGTTCCCCTATTACCCTGCCCCCACTGAATCCACTTCCTGTCTACTTCCAGTCCAGCTCATGTACAGTGCCTTTTATCATGCAACTCTCCGCCCCAATATTGTTTTTGCTCAACATGGGGTCACTGCTAGCACAGGAGATATAGTTTCCATTTTTTAACTTCTTGTTGTCAGGACCTCACCGTGGGCTAAGGTTGCGCTAGCAGAAAAAGTCCTCAGATCTAGGCTACAGCACGGTCTGGAGGGAATTTAGACAGACTGCGACTGGTAAAATACAAGTTTGTCTGAGCACAAACTCAATTTTTCAAAGACATCAACTTACCAGAGGTGCAGCAAAACACATAGCCTTTATTACATTTAAAAACCTTACTCCATAGCATGGGGCTGTTAAAGAAAAGGGCATCAAAATGTTTGTGCCAGCTGTATACCAGATTAATTTGGTTTTGGCTGAAACTTTGGCCCCGGGGGGGGGAGGAGGCGGGAGGGAAAGGTGTGTGGAAATCAGCTTGAGAGACACCCTGATGTGGAAAACAGGACTAACAAAGTTGTAAGCTACTGAAAATAGGGTTGGATAATGGGAAGTGTCAGGTAATTTTAGCCTGAACAGGCAGTTCTTGCAGTCTTGACTAGAATAAACATGTACACACAGATATGCAATTTCTTCGAAGTGTGCAAGCTCTATTGCACATACAGAAGCTGCACAATTACATGCTGCTATAGACACATTAGTCTGAGTCTGTAAGCATCCATATAGCTATGTCAACCCTGACTTGCTCACGAACAGAACGGTTAGGTTTGAAAGTCTAACGTTGTTTGCCTGGAGACGTTCAGTCTGTATTACTGTCTGAAGGATGTTATGAAGGTCACCTACTGTTGAAAGTGTGGGGTTGTTTTTTTTTATATGATGTATTTAGGATGTGAACCAGGGCACTCTTCTAGTGACAGTGTCAGCCAGCTCATTATGAAATCATTAGACTAGATCTTGACATCCTCCCCACCACATCCCTAAGAGAAATATTCAGTACCTTTTTTTATTGGAAAACAGCAGCTTAACAGACAATCAGTTTGAAAAAGGCTCGACTGAAAGAGGCCACTTGCAAAATTCTGAAAATGGTTTGTTAAGTTGTAGAGTCTATTTTCATCTGTTGTGTTTACTAGGATTTCCAAGAGAACAGACATGTATCCAGTGCTGTGCCACTTTTCATTGGCATTAAAGTAACAATTAAAACCAAAACCCTCTCATTACTCCTTTTCTTGCATTATCTATTAGAGCATTCTCTTTAAAACCTGTTTTACTCTCTTGCTATATTACTGTGTAAATAAGAGGAGCGGAAGTACCTGGATTACTAGTAGGTCTCAGGGGGCTTTAACGTGCCTGTTCTACTGAGCATTAAAGCGTCAGGGCAGAAACAGCGCTAATATACTAATGTGCAGTAGAATTAGTCAACTGAGCATTAAGCATCACTGAAAAGGTGTTCACTTTTGCTCCAATGCATTAAGGCAGCCTAATGTGCCTTTATGTAGTATCTCATATTAGAGGTACAAAACTTAATGCTCAGTAGCAAAAGCGCATTAATGAATGTGTAGATGCACCTGGGGAGTTCCAGAATTGTAGATGAAACTGGGAGGAAAGTGAGACAGGGATGCCCCTATGCCGGTGTCTAAGAACTCTGTCTAAAACAGTAGGGGCCAACCTTTTTGGCAAGTGTGCCACGCATGCCACTCCAATACCCTTCCCCTGCTTAATCTGTTGCTTTGCTTGCTTCTCCGTGCCCCATGCTCCCTGCCCAATCTGGTGCTCTGCTTTCTAATCCACGCCCTGTCTGTCCCCACATTCCTTGCTCCTTCCCCAGCCTGCTGTGTGCCACACAGGGGCTGCCTGTGTCAGCTGTGAGACACGTATTGCAGGTTGGTCACCCCTGATCAACATGATAGACTTCACCTCTACACATTTCTAAAAATCACTAAACTAGTGTATGTTGAAGCTGTCATCAAATTAGTAAAAACCCTGAATATCCAATTCAAGGACTGCAATGTCCATCCTCCTCATTGCACGACATCCTGATCTCACCACTTCATGCAGTCCTATTGATCAAAAGATACAGGCTGCATGAGTCATACTGCTGTAGTGAGGACACGTGATCTTAAATGTAGAAGAGTAAGTTTCCCCCGATAGGAGGGATACTATCCTCTAAACAGAGATGAGACAGATTATTTTTAAAGGATCCAAATAAGCCAAGAAGCTTTAGAATCGTCTTTTCTTGTTAGAGTTGACCTCAGCTTATGTCATGTTGAATTTAACCTACTGCTTCTCATAATGCAGCCTGCACAGTTCAATTAAGCACCAACCATCTTTGTTGCTCTAAGTGATCGGCTTCAGAGTTCAGAAGAGAGAAATAAAAATACAACGTTCGTCAAGGGGCCAACAGAGAAAAGAAAAACTGAGAACAAAAAGACTAGGCCCGGTCTCGTGTATCTTTATTCATGCAAGCAGCTCCACTGATTTCACAAGTGCCGTTTGCCTGAGGAAGGACCAACTTGTTTGAAAAAGTGTTAACAGCAATGAGATCTTTACTACAAACAGGTGCAGCGCAGGTTTCCACGCAGACTGAGGGAGAGGCTTTCCGCCTGCTCAGAGCACACCCCGAACACGGGCTTCGCACCTGTGAGCGTCTGCGCCGTCCTTCCGGCCATCTTCCGGGAACCGGCCTTACCTCCCCATCTTCAGACCACAGAACAGCAGGGCCACCCCATGTGCCAGGCCTGCTGCAAATTAACCACCCCCTGCGTCACGCCAATGCCCTCCCCTCGCCTGACCTGCTGCTCTGCCTTCCGCTCCACGCCCGTTCTGCTGCTCCGCTTCCCGCTCCGTTCCAACCACTGCTCTGCTTTCCGGTTCCTGCTCGACCTGATGCTCTGCTTTCTGCTCCAATCCACTGCCCTATTTTCTGCTCCCTGCCTGATCCACAGCTAGGCTTTCTGCTTCAATCCACTGCCCTGCTTTCTGCTCCCTGCCTGACCTGATGCTCTGCTCCCTGCCCGACTTGATGCCCTACTTTCTCCTTCCTGCCTGATGCACAGCTCTGCTTTTTGCTCCGAGCCCCACTCCACTGGTCCCCTCCCCAATCTCCTGTTTTTGCTTTCTGCACCCGATCTACGGCTCTGCTTTCCGCTTTCCCCGCCCCCGTTCTCCTGGCCCCGCCCCGCGCTCTTAGCCCCACCCGGCCCCGCCCCGTTTGTGTCGCGTGCGCGCGCCGATCGCGCGTCACTTCCGCT